TAATGATCTAATGAGCGGTACAGTACAGTACGAGTCGGTACACGCCACCTTTATGAGGCTTGCATTTTTACCGCCAAAAGGGTACCATGGTCAGTTCGACTATGGCTCGTTTTTATATGTATATATTATTACGGTGTAATGCCTCAGCCTTTTTTTTTTATGGCGCTTTCTTTGTTTTCATTCCCCTGGCTTGCTGCAGGAGCGAGTGATGTATCCCTGTAAACCAATACTGTCCACTTGCTCGTCTAGCTCTCCTTTTTGGTATCCTTTTGGCATGCTACGTACCCTTTGCAAAGGGTACCCAAAAAGTGGTATGGTTTGGTTCGCTTTTTGGTACCTTTTGACCGTGGAAACGGCCATAAAAGCGTACTGAACCAAGCCGTCCCATACCGTACTACTCAGTGGAAATAGAGCATAGAGGAAATTAAAGCACAGACTTGTGTTACAAAATTAATTCGAAGTAGAATCCTTAAAAGGTTAGTTTGCACAAAATGAAATTTTCAGTTGTTTATTACTCATCCCCATGACAATTCCCTAATATCTTTGTTCATCTTAAGAAGGCAAATTAAGATATTTTTAGCTCTCTCAGAATATGAGGTAGAAGACGTTGGCAAACAAAGTTGTTTTTACAGTTGTATTTTATTTATTTATTTTTTTGGTTTCTGTGGCACAAAAGTGTTCTTGGAGTTTCTTAAGATTACTGTTGAACCACTGAAGTCACATGGTAAGTTTATGTAACTGTAGCTGTCTATGGAGGATGCTAAAATATCGAAACTTGTGTTCTGAAGATGACCAAGTCTTATGGAGAGTGACTAATCAATAATACAGTTTTTATGTTTAGGTAAACTTATTATTTGCCACTGTAAATGTGCAAAGACAACAATAAAAACCCCAGAGAATTAACCTTGAAATATTTATCACTACAATCACATTGCCACAATTTGGTAGGAAAAGACTTTAGTAGCTATGTTTCCATCCAGAGATGTGAATTAAATTTATGCTTAAAACTAGAATATTGCATAAAAGACATGCAAATAATGTAGCGTTTCCATCCAAAAACTCAAACTAAATGGTCTCTTTCTGATTTACTGGTTCCAAATATCAAAAATGAAAAATGAATTTGCTGTGGTGGGAGAAGCTGCGTCAATCCTTTCCTTATTTAATAAATGACTTGTGCCTCAGAAGAAAATGTCGCTACGCAATGAAGGCGTGGTGATGTTTAAAGGTGTGAGACGCGGAACACAGACTCTCTTAACAGTTCTGGAGGTCATTAATAATATAATAACACTAATATTGAAACGGTTATGGCATTTTATAATGTCCAAAACAACATTTCAGATGTTTTACAGTGTCCTCAGCCTGCTAGTTTGTCTATTCACACACACTTTTATCATCACATGACCTCTTAAAACAAAATCACATGACTTTTTTAATGCGCACACTGGATTTTTTACAGTAAAAGTGTTTCCATCGTAGTTTATGTGCTTCTTTTCTTATCGAATAAAATGTTTATCCTACTCAGTTATGTGCATACATTTTTAATGCACATTTTCAAAATTGATGGGCATCTTGGCGTTTCCATTAACCATTTTTTATGTGCATATCCAAAATGCACATAAAGATAGGTAGGTATCGATACTTTAGAACTGAATGAAATGAAACTACTTATTTAAATCCAGCACTTTTGGTGTCCTGCGTCTCCAAACAATCATTAATTGGCAAGTGTTAACATTTAACATTTTAGTAACAGTATGGCTTGCTTGCAATCTCAACTAAGGTGGTGCTAAAAAGTACCCAGTGTCATTCATACTAAAGTGAGCCATACCGAGATGCTCCATGCAAAGGAAAAGAACACTGAGTGTTAAAGTTTGTGTATGTGTGTGTGCCTTTGTGCATTAGTATGATGGCTGTGACTCCGCATTGCTTTGAAGAGGTGGCGTTACACACGAACGTGCTATGCATTGTGTCAAAGGCTGGCGTGTAGGACATGTGTCACATCTGAAGGTGAAGCATGACTGTGCATGTGTTAGCATATGAGCAACACTAACTTTCTTAATACAAAGCCAATCCAGGCTAAGAAGCAATATAAAACTATATAGGTTTGTGGTAAAAAAAAAAGCTATAGTTTTATTCTAGTTTCGTCTCCATAAAGGGATAGTTCACCCTCAAATTTAAATTCCATCATTATTGCAAAGCATTATAACACTTTTATTTCTACTATTAAACATAGGAAATTTTCAATTACAAATGTTCAGTTTTTGGACAATTAAAGGGATAGTTCACCCAAAACTAAAAATTCTAAAGTCATTTTCCCTCTGTTTACTTCTCAACTTTCTTCTGTTAAACACACAATGAGATATTTTGAAAGCTGGAAAATTTCAAAATATCATTTTAAAAAGCTGGAAAGAAACCTGTGGTCCATGACTTCCATGCTATTTGTTTTTCCAACGATGGAGGTCAGTGGTTACAGGTTTTCAGCCTTTTTCAAAATACATTCTTTAGTGTTCAACAACTAAGAAAGAAACTCATAAAGGTTTGGAACAACTTGAGGGAGAGTAAATAGTGAGTGAATTTTCATTTTTGGTTGAACTCTCCCTTTAAAGTAAAAGAAATGAGTACTCTCAGGGCAAAGTACTTTTTTTTTCTTTGTTTAGGGTAAAAAGAAGTTTGAAATACCTAGCTAATAGCAGTTTAGTGTTGGCAAACATCCCAACACAACCCACACTGCTAAGAGTAGCATGTAGATGAATATGCAGGTATATAGTTATCTTCTGTTGATGTTTTAAAGTCAATTCAGTGAACCTTATTTTAAAATCTAATCTTTACAAGAGCCTGAAATATTAAATATGCTTATGCAGAGATGCGTATTATATAACGTAATGTCCTAAGATGACACTTTAACTCGCTCAGTGCTGTTCCAACTCTCTATATGTGTCTGTTAGACTAAAAACCTCTCCTTCATCAGGCGCACACATGCAGTATGAGAAACTCTTGAGCGTCATCTCCGACTGTACTGCTAAAGTAATATTGACAGCAGCTTCAGGGATGGGAAATCATTCTAATTCAGCACTTTTGCAGATGAAGGGTTTTTCAGTACAGATTTAAAGCTTCGCCTTGATGAATGTTCCCGTTTTCATTTCCGTCAATATGTTTTTCTCAGCGAGCTAACCGAATGTGTCTCTTTCTCTATGTGCGATTGACACAAGAAAGCAAGTAATGTGCTTGCTCTTGCCCCTCCAGAACAAGTCCACTTGCTGACATTTTGGTCAATACAAATCGCATCAAGTCTTGCACGTAACCATGCGTTTTAGTTTCTTTACTGCAAAAAAATTCATAAATAAATAACGATCTAAATATAAGAAATAAATGAAGAATTTCAGAAGATACAGACAAGAATTGAGACTAATGATCTGCCAGGGCAGTAAGAAAATTATACATTAATCTGTCTTAATTTGAGCTTAAGCATTTAAATTTAAAACAAGATTACTGTATGTATTAAATCAAGATCTGACATGCATGTACACAAATTTTTATTCAAATTAAAAATTGAATGAACTTACATTTCCTTCAGCTTATTGCCTTTATTCATGGGGAGTTGCCGCAGCAGAATGACCCAACTTATCTATCATGTGTTTTACACATCGAATGCCCTTCTACCTGCAACCCAGTTCTGGGAAACACCCATACACTTTCCCATCCACAAACACTAGGGCAGTGTTAATTTTGACTGCAAATTTGATTTAGTTTTAGTCTTTGTCTTTTCACAAAAATTCAATTTTAGTCATATTTTAGTCTTCTGAATCATTTTAGCTTTAGTCTATTTTTAGTCGACTAAATTTCATAACATTTTAGTCAGCTAAATCTACTTTACAGATTCCCCTATGGAAGATGATGTAAACGCATTCCACCTCTACTGTGGATCAAATATGCACACACCAAGATTAATTACGGCTAAAACATCCAATTATTACGGCTTAATTTTAAGTCTTAAAATACAGACTGGTCTTAAATGATGTCTCTGATTGTAACTAAGCTAAATGTACATGTACAATAAGTGACTTTAAGCTTTACTAAGTGCGAAAAAAGATAAATGAACAAAATAATCAAATTAATCTGACACACTCAAAAAATGATGTTTGCTGTTTGTTATTTTAAATGAACTGAAACAACACAAATATTGATGTTTTTTTAGGGACAACTTAATAGTTTTGTGTTCAATCCACATACATTTGTGAAACTATTATGTTAACTTCATTCTTTCATGTTGTCTCTACTCAAATCGATTCTGTGGAACCCAGCATTTTTTAAAGTAATTTTTGTTTAAACTACTAATTTAAATGAGCTGAAACAACACAATTTTTGATGTTTTTAAGGGGCAACCTAATAGTTTTGAGTTATATCAACTTAAATTTGTAAAAACTATTATGTTAAGTTTAATTTTTTATATTGTTCCAACTCAAATCGATTGTGTAAAACCCAGCATTTTTTACAATCTAGACTCAAAAAAATGATATTATATTTGTTTGAACTACTTCGAATTACTACTTTTGAACTACTACTACTACTACTTGTTTAATGAGCTGAAACAACACAATTCTTGATGTTTTTAGGGACAACTTAATAGATTTGTGTTTAAGCCAATGAACTTTGTAAAAAACTATTATGGTAATTAAATTCTTTCATGTTGTCTCAACTCAAATCTATTCTGTGAAACACAGCATTTTTTAATGTTTGGTCAAACTTCTTATTTAAAATGAGCTGAAACAACACAATTCCTGATGTTTTTTTGGGACAACTTTTGTGTTCGAACCACTGACATTTTTGACTTAATTCTTTCATGTTGTCCCAACAAAAATCCATGGGACCCAATATTTTTACAATTTATTCTTAAAACAAGATCAATACAACTTATGGGCTAGAAATAAGCTTGTTACTCTTGACTAGATAAGGAATTTTTCGGCGTGTTGTCCTCATATACTTTCTGATTTCTCTTCCTCCAGGCTCCGACTGTTCCAGAAACTTCACCAGCCCTTCAGGTGTGATCGAGTCACCTGGTTTTCCTGACAAATACCCACACAACCTGGAGTGCTCCTTCATCATCGTGGTCCCGCCTCACATGGACGTCACCCTCACCTTCCTGACCTTTGACCTGGAGAACGACCCCTTGCAGGGTTCGGAGGGCGAGTGCAAGTACGACTGGCTGGAGGTGTGGGACGGCCTCCCGCAGGGTGAGTGGAGATGCCGTAATCCCAAAGAATTCGGATTAGACCGCGCTTTTCCAAAGTCCAGACCACCCGTGACTTTAAGAGGATTGCTTTTTTTCTCTGACCTCATTGTCTGCTTTGAGATCAGTACGTTGCATGTCTGCCGTACATAATTTGGTCACTTAATGATTTCTAATCCGCATAGCATTCACTGTCACACTATGGGCCATCTGGTTGGTTGATCTCCCAGTCTATACAGCTGTTGGCTCTTACCCTGTGACACGCAGCACCCGTCGGTCGGCCACTGTGCCAGCGTTTCTGCCGGTGTGCATTGCTGTCGTGCTGTTACTGCGGCTGCCGCTGGAGCTATTTTGGTATTGAGCGTTGGCAGATGAAAGCGGAGCCCAGGGCCTTGCTTTGCCTTATCTGCGTCAGGCGGGGCCAAAAAGCCACGGCACCCGTATTCTTCCACAGAGGAGACTGAGGACGGGGGTAACAGCAGCCATGGTAACCTTTATCAGGAAAGTGAAAATGGGGCGTGAATAACACTGCAATAGGATTTAATCCTTGTCTGGAACAGAGCGCTATGGAATACTCTCTTTTTTTCCCCAGCTGTCTTATTAATGCTTCAGCCCCTAGACCCCCGTTCTGCCCCCACCCTCGTCCTTCTGCCTCTGGGATTGGCTTCATGTTGTGGTGCTGAACACGCACATCTAATCAGACACTTTATAAGTGTCGACTAAAACATGACAGGGTATTTAGTGTAGTTTAATAACTCAGCTTGCTCTAGATCATCAGGTTCACCAGTTAGTAGTGGAGTTTTCAAAATTTACTGTAATAAAATCATTCTTGTTAATGTTATGTGATGATTATATATAAACTGTTAACTTGAGAAATGCAAAAATTATTTATTGCAATACTTAATTATTTTACTTAAAAGCCAAGAAAAGTACACTGGGGGTGTACTCACACTATGCACAGTTGCCCTGAACTGGGCCGAAACATCCTTGTTCACCCTCCGGTCTCCCCCATCAGCCACCACTCACTATACACTCAGCTTACATCACTTACAGCTATACAAGACTCAGCTGAGCACGCTTACATCATCAATGATGCGCTGTTCAGTAAGAAACGCTCTCGCTCAGCACAGTGTAGATTTCTTTAGTTACATCGTTTAAGTTGTTTGATATGCAGTGACACGCAGTCAAATATTTCACCACTTTTGTTGCTCATAAACTATCATAAAGTCATCTTGCTGCAGGAATTATGAAGTTTGCTGAAGGTGCAGCTGTCGCGCAGTGAGGGGTTTGCGTCTTTAATAATCTACAACAGTTTGTGTTCATTGAACAGTGAGAATGATTAATAAATCGATATGAAACGGTCCCTTAAAAGTCACGTCTCGTTTTCAGTTTCAGACTCAGGCGTGCTTTGCACTCACACTACAAGTGTACCGCGCAAGTGAGCTGCGCTCTGGCACACCTTTTTCAACCTAGCCAGGGCCTGCCAAGTGAACCGCGCCTGAGCCTGATTCAGAGCACTCTCAAACGATCTGGGAATCAGGCCTGGGCACCGTTCAAATAGCATAGAGTGAGTAAGCTCTAGTTCCTAGTGTATTGCATTATAAAAAGAAATTAACACTGAAATCTCACAGCTGCTGGTAGCACATGTACAAACTGGGGAACACATAAATTCTTACATTTTGAAAATAAACATACATGTGAAGTTATTAAACATAAATTGACCATTTCTAATAAACATAATTGTACTTCAACAAACATAAATAAACCATCTTAATTAAACTTAACAGTACTCCAGTACAGTATCCTTCATTCAGAATGTAAATGTCACTTAGGTCAGCCATCTGTTCCTGTGTTTTAAGGTTCGTCTGTAAAAAGATAAGCCTGCCAACATTTTGAGGATTGTTGTTTTTTTAGAGGAGTTTATTACCTTCTATGCTATTCTGCCTTCAGACAGTGATATTGCTGGGTGATGGCGGTGCAGATGTGCAGTCATGATTGGATATGTTTCCGTTTGAGTAGGCTATACATGTAAAACGATGCTTGCACACAGTCATTTTTTTGTTCATCGTTTTTTCTTTCTCAACATTATACTCAACGGCAAATGAGAAATGTCCCAACACCGCAGATTTGAAAAACGCCGACCCTTCATCGTACTGTTGCTTCACTTCACCTCTGCTCACCATGTTAAAGTGTGCGATCATGGTTAAGCGCCCCCTAACTCTGGAGCATATTGATTATATATTTACTCGCAGGGAGGAGTTTCCTCATCTCAGCTCGTAGACTTACAGGCACACACAAACAGTCGGAGAGAAACAAAACGCACATAAATTATTTAAACGTAAAACCGAAAAAAAAAGCAATTCACTAGCACATACTGAATCTTGGATGTCGTACTGAATGGTTCAATATTATATTGAGAATTGTGGCATCCATTGCCTATATCTGTGCTGTTTTTTTCATAAAACACAGGCTTTACATGTTATACATTTCAGTTTTATGTAATTCACATGTTTATGAAATATGAAAATATGTTGAAAAATACCCGTTTATGCAACAAAAACATACTTTAAAAACAAAACTTGCTTGGTTTGATCGTCAACACCATCAAATGTGAAAGACATTTTTTTTCAACCTAGCATTCGAGAGCACTTGCGGTATTAAAGCCCTTCCCTCTCCAAAAGAGAAGAAAATCAATGTACTTGATTGATACTAGGTTATTTCACCCATCCGGGACTGTGTGTGTGTGTGTGTGTGTGTGTGTGTGTGTGTGTGTGTGTGTGTGTGTGTGTGTGTGTGTGTGTGTAGGATGGATTCATTACTGTGAGACAGCAGCCTCTCTATAGCATTATAGCCTGACCAAACTAAATCACACACCTCTGTTGACAGGATTCAGAGAAGTGGTGTTGTATAGGTTTTAGCCACATAAAGTCTTATAAATGGTCAGTGAGAGCAAAATCAAACCTGTGCACATCCCACCACTGAGAATGAGTTTGTGTGTGTGTTTTTTTTTTTGCAGTGGGACCATTGATTGGACGCCACTGCGGTACCAAAATCCCTTCTGAAATCCAGTCGTCCACTGGAATCCTTTCTCTATCCTTTCATACGGACATGGCTGTGGCCAAAGATGGTTTCTCTGCCCGCTATAACATGACTCTCAAGGAGGTCAACGACAGTAAGTGGTCTTTATACTTCATGCTTTGAGAATGAACAGCTAATGATTTAAAAAAGTTGTTTGTTAAAAAGTTGTTAATATAAAATACAGACAAATATATAAAATTTTATTATATATAATCAAATATATATATATATAAATTTTAGTAAAATAAAACAAAATATATAAATATATATATTTTTTTATTTTGATTGTTTATTTAAACCAATTTAAACCAAAAAAGTTAGTTAAATATGTATTTTTTTAAATATGTTATAAAATATAAATAAATTGAAATGTATATTTAAAATGTTAAAACAATATTGTCTCAAAATTATAACCAAGCAAAATTACCAAACAGTATTATGAGAAATATAATTTTAATTAAATTGTTTTATTTGATTTATTTTTTATTTTTATTTATTTATTTTTGTAATAAATTGTATTGTTTTTTATATATAGAATTTGTTAAACTAATACAAGGGCAAGACTATTTTTTATTTATTTTTTTGTTGAAATTTCTATCATTGCTTTAACTTTTTCCCACAATAGCATTCTAGAAATGCATATTTTAAAACAGCAAATAACTGCTAAAGTTGGTTGTATCCATTCTTTTAGTTACTCTTCAACATTACTGTATATTTGCACGTCTGTCCTATACCCCAATGATAATATGAGAAAACTCTCTGTGCTCCTCAGATTTCCACTGCAGTAATGATCTTGGCATGGAATCAGGAAAGATCAGCGATGACCAGATCTCTGCATCGTCCAGCTTCTATGACGGCCGATGGTCTCCAAGACAAGCTCGACTCAACTTTGACGACAACGCTTGGACGCCCAACGAGGACAGCAACAAAGAATACATCCAGGTGAGGTTTCAAGAACAAGTTTGTGGGCCTGTACCATGACAATGGCTAAACAAACTCAGGGTTACAGGGTTACTTAAAAACTGTCAGAACCAAATCAGTACAATCAGGCTTTGTCAGTAGTAGGATTCTTATCAACTTTCTTGAGTTGTAAACTTTTCTATAAATGAAAACATGAAGGCAGGACGTCAGTAGCAAAAAAGCCAGTCAAACACCTTGAAATAAAGACACTGTGATTTACTTTTTTAAAAATATATATTTTATTACAAATTTACTTTAAGATAAAAGAAATCTATATGAGCTAATAAACAATCAACTAATAAAAAAATATGTGCTTTATAAATGTGAAAGTTTGCGAAAGTTTCCAGAATTTATGAAAAGGTGAATATTTTTGACAAAATCATACAAACTGCATGCTATATTTTATTTACTTTAGTACAGTCCTGGGTAAGAATTTTTTACAAACAGTCCACTGGACAGAAAAATAGTTCAAGTTATTAAAATAACCTATTGAAACTTTTAAAGTTTGAAGGTTAGGGAAAAGTTGTAATTTGTTCTCCAGTAAACATGCAAGTATCTTGCCTTGCTTTGGAAGGGCAGCAATAATTGTAAAAATATATATATTTCAACAGAATCAAAAATCTTTAAGCATCTTCATGCTGTTCAAAAGTTTTCACCCCCTAGCTCTAAGGGGCCGATCACACCGAACGTGCTTTTTGTGTTGAAAGACACTTTTTTTGAATGATTTACTAACTGCAGCGAGCATTTTGTGCGCGGTTTATGTGCCCTCACGTTTTAACTGCCTGCTGCACCTTGCATTTTTGTTCTTGCGCGTCGTGCACTTTTAGTTGAAAAAAGTCAACTCGAAGCTAAAAAGCATGTTACATAATTTGCATTTGTTTCATTCTCCAATCAAATGAAAGCAATAAAGGTGTTTCCATTGAGGTGCCTTCAATGTTTTTTGAAGATGGAGCAGAGACTTGTGGTTGCTGTTTTGAGTTATCTGGAGCTTTATGACCTCACAAATCTTGATTATTACAATATTGATACATATTAAAACTATATTAATATCAACAGCAATACTCTCGCACAGTACCCAGCTGAATTAGTTGTTGCATAGCAACATAAAAAAGTGCACCATTTTCTTGTCAAAAAGGCAGTGTGGTGCGCTTCGTGTTTTTGGAACTTAAATGCTCGTTCGGTGTGATCGTACCCATAATGCCTCGTGTTTCCTTCTGGAGCATTAGAGCCTTATTTTTATTTTATTTTATTTATTTATTTTAACGGTTGTGTTTGAGTTTTCCTCAGTGTAAAAAGATGGACCTTAAAATCATACAGTCAGTGCCGGAAAGGTTTAAATATCCAGAATTAGGAATCTGCAGGACATGGAGACTTATCTGAATAACAGAAACTGTTCTGAACAATTGAGACAACCGTGGCAAAGCCAAAAGACAAACATACACGAATATCGTCCAGTTAAACACAGTATTAAAAACTTACAATTACTATTACTAAAACCTAATAAATACTTTGCAGTATTCAACTTTTGCAGGGGGGTATTTAAATAAGTTCAGCTATTATTATATTTTAGTAAAATTGATTTATATAACAATTATTTTTATCATATAAAAAATATTATAATAAACCATCTTTGTTTAAAGCAAGGAAATTTCCTTCATAACATTTGGTCATAATTTAATTTATGGTAAATTTCTTGCTACTAACAAACCATTAAATATGAATTTTAGTTCAATAAACTACTAATTTGCTGCTTATAAGGTGGATAGATTAGGGATGTAGAATAAGATCATACTTTATAAATATTAATAAACACTTCAAATCTTAATAGGCAGGTAATAAGCCAGTAGCTGAAGGAATTTCACTCAAAAATGAAAATGTACACATTATTTGCTCACCCACAAATGGCTAGAAACCTTTGAGTTTCTTCTGTTAAACAGAAAAGGAGATAATTTGAAGAATGATAAAAACCTGTAGACATTGACTTCCATAATAAGAAAAACATACTGTACCATGGATGTCGTTGGTTACAGTTTTAGCTTTCTTCAGAACATCCTCGCTTGTGTTCAGCAGAAAAATAGACATTTGCTGGAACAAGTAAAGGGTGAGTAAATGATGAAAGAATTTTCATTTTTGGGTGAACTGTCCTTTATATTATATAATAGCGAGAATTGATACTAAAAGCTACTGTTTACCAAAGGTACAACAGAAAAAACAACTTTTTACACCTATGCTGGTACCTTTAGCATTAGTAAATCTAAACCAAAATATAACCTGCCCTGAAGCAGTTTAGCAAATGACCTTGAGTTATAACAACTAAAGCCCTATCTAATCCAGTGTTGATGCCTGCTAAACTGAAACCTACCTAAATAACCAGCTAAATCAGCTTGGTGGTGTACTGTAGGCCCTCTGTCAAAACGTCTTTCTCAAAGTGCTTGAGAAGCTTGCCAGGCCCAGATGGATTTGAGATTTCGGATTGTGTCAGGAAGTCAATGGGGTCAGGAGCTGCGCCAGGCCTTTCGAAACGAGGCTCATTACTTGTGGTGTTACTTTAAGTGGTGTGTCGTATTTGTGTCAGGATGTTGCTGAGTTGTGGAGCCCACAGCTGTTGTGTTGTGTTAACACCTGACATCACTCGCTTGCTCTCAGAGTCCACGGCCCAGACATCCATCTTGACAAACAGCTGTCGTAAATGCCAACATGCCCGAGGAACATACTTCACTTGGACGCCCCGCCTCAACTCGCCTCGTTCTGTTCTGTGTGTGTGTGTGGGTTCAGAAAAAGAGGCGTCGTTCTGTTTTAGATGCAGTGTCATTGATCTTCATTGATTCATCTAGGGTTTCAGGGTAAATTAGTTGATGTAACTTGTAACTTAAAGGAATACTATTGATGCAATATAAGCTCAGATTTGTTGTCAAAGGCATTTGTGGCATGATGTTGTTTTTTACGATGAAGAAATAGGTAGAAATGCCCAGCACCCCCCAACAACTACTGGGTTTTTTTTTTTTTTACTTTAGGTTTATAGTTGTAATACGGTACTTGCATGGTAACAACCATTTTCAGAAGTCCCAAAAATGCTGTTAAAAATATCCACAAAAAGGCCAGATTATAGGGAATGTCATTTCAGAGAGTAAAAATGTTTTATTTTATTTTATTTTATTTTAAATTTTATTTCATTTCATTTTATTTTATTTATTATTTATTTATTTATTTATTTATTTATTTATCTATCTATCTATCTATCTATCTATCTATCTATCTATCTATCTATCTATCTATCTATCTATCTATCTATCTATCTATCTATCTATCTATCTATCTATCTATCTATCTATCTATCTATCTATCTATCTATCTATCTATTTATTTATTTATTTATTTATTTATTTTATTTTATTTTATTTTATTTTATTTCAATAAATTGTTACACTAAGACCAGGACCGGACTTTTTTATTTAATTTTATTTTTATAATATTATTTTTATTTTATTTTTTATTTTATATGTTCTTTTATTTAATTTTGTTATATATATATTTTTTTTTTTTATTTATTTAGTATTTTATTTTTTGTTTTATTTTAATAAATTGTTACACTAAGACCAGAACCAGACTTCTTTATTTTTACTTTATTATTTTTTTATTTTTTTATTTTAATAAATAATAAATAACAATACAATTTCATTAAGTTTTTTTTTTTTTTTTTTTTTTTCTTCTTCAACTGAGCGACGCGACAAACTATGTTCTGGGCTAATTAGCATTACCCCACATGCTGATAACAGAGTTTAACCCAGAACTTCCCTTTAACATCTCATCAGTTTTTCTTGTGTGCTCTTTTTCCCTCCATTGTTTCTCTCTGTCTCTCTTTATTACTATTCATCAGGGACTGGTTTCACAGACGCAGTAGGCTGCATCTCTCTCTCTCTCTCTCTCTCTCTGGTCTCTGGGCGCATGCAGGGCTTTATGATGCACGGCCCGCTCTGATGCTAACAGCCACTTGATTGATGAGGGTCCTTTCCTAGGAATAAATAGTTAGCAGCAGACCTGGGTTCTATTGATTTTTGTGTCTAGGTGTGTTTCTCTGTGGCCCTAAGCAGCTTTGCAGAAGGTACTAGTGTGTGTGCGTGTGCTCGTATCAGTGTGTGAAAGCCACACCTGTCTCTCTGACAGATAACAAACGCTGCAGTTTTCCCGCTCATGTTCGGATGACATCCCGCTGAGCAGGGAGAGCCGAGGATCATGGGTAACAGCCCTCCTTTAGGACGGGAGCTGAATGCCTGATTAAGGCGAGACACTGCAGGCTAAATTTTATTATTTTTTTAATGCAGCAGTCAGTTATGAGGTTTTGGCCTATTGGGCTTTTCTTTTTTTTCTGTCCAATGTAAAGAAAACATCCACCTAAGTCCGCCACAAAGTGTTTCTTTTGTCGTACTTTTGAAATTTGCAGACATAAACTGATAATGTAGTACATATTTTAAAAGCCGTTTTCACATGCATTGAGTCATAAATCTCCACTTCAGCAGTACTTACAGCACACCCCTCAGAGATCTATCTTTTAAATTCATATTTTTAATAGGAAGCTATACAATATTATATGTGTGCATGTACATTAGGTTAGTCAGTACTGAAGCCGAATCTGGAGCTTATCTAACAAAATAACTTACGATAACTAGTACTAATTTATATGTTATAGAAAATATTAAATACAAATTTAAAATGAGAAAAAATCAAGAGAAGCTAAACAAATTGTAAAAATTTAGTTATGATTAATGTAGGTTATAATTTTTCTTTTATATTTTGATTGAATTTAATTGTATTATCTTTCCATTTCTAAATATTTTTTCTGACTAAATATTACTTTAATAAATATGTCTGTTTAATAAATCTGTTTTGTTTAAATGCACCAAAATACATTGCCTATATTCACTGAGAAATGGGTACAAATATTCATTTTCTAAATGGGGTGCACTCAATTATGCTGAGCACTGTACATACACCAATCTTCACCATTCTATTCATGTTGATATTCTGAAGGTATCAGTATGTGTTCATTAGGGATGCAACGATTATAGATTTTAATTGTGCGATTATAGTCTGAGGAATAATCACGGTTTCACGTTTATCATGATTATTATGATTATTTTCAAAACACTACTAGTTCAGAAAATCACATGAAAACTCCAGTGTTATTTACTGCTACTCCGTAACCCAATAATACACCACAAAACCATTACAAAAAAAACAAACAATAATCCATTTATTTTTGGACTTATTTAAGCATAAGTAATAATTTTACACTGAAAATAAATATCACAACAATAAATAAATAAATAATATTATGTATTAAAAAGTAGGATTTGTGTCATGTAAATCTAAGCTACATATAAGCTAAGTATTTCCCTTCTAAAGAGAACAAATGCAGTCATAGGCTACTGAACCTCGGCTGAAACACGGTGTTGAGAAGCCTTTACAAATAATTAAAGCACTGTTAATAGTGAAATCGGACTAATGCTCATACCTAATTTGCCTGATTATATAGTTTGTGGGATTTTATTCTATAAAAAGTGAAAAAAGAATGTATCACAAAACCTCTCCATCAAAAAGTTGACTCTTCTATTAAAAAATAAATGAAACAAATAAATACTGTATATTCATATAAGTGCTTATGTATTAAATAAGGCCTATATAAACATAACATTTTAGAAAACAAGTAACACAAAAATATGTTTTAATATATTTAATCAACTGGGAAAATATGTTGATATTATTATTATTTATTTATTTTTACCGTTCACTCTCAGTGTCTTGCATTAAAGCAATAGTTCACCCAAAAATGTAAATTTACCTACTAATTACTCTCCCTGAAGTAGTTCCAACCCTTCATGACTTTCTTTATTCACTTAACACTAAGAAGATATTTTGAGGAATTTTAGAAACCTGTAACTATTGACTTCCAATGTAGGAAAACAGTCACTATGGAAATCAATTAATACCGGTTTACAGCCTTCTTTAAAATAACTTATTTTGTGTTCAACAGAACAGAAACTCACACAGGTTTGGAACAAGCAAAACGTGAGCAAATTATGACACAATTTTAATTTTTGGGTGAACTATCCCTTTAAAGATGTCTCTGCAATGTAGGCGGTGGGCTGAGATGCTGGTCTCTCTCTGCACTCATCCTCATCTTCATGGTGGGGGGGGGGAGGGGGGGGGTTGGGGGGGGGTGAGGAGCGAGGGTGATAATCTGTGTGGAGAGAGAGAGCTGAATGAAGGTGGTTAGTATTGATCAGAGCTCAGGTGATTGATCTTAAGGCTCTGATAACACCTTCACTGCTGCCCCGTGATCTGCAGGGAGGAGGGGGACGCCTCATATTCCCACAGCCCCATCCATCTTTCAGCTCTTCTGCTCTCATCTCGCCCTCTACTTGCTCCATTATCTCCATCCTATCACTCTCTCAACATCTCACTTTAGGAAACAAAAACTAAATGAAAACATTGTGTTAACTGAAAAAGGTAAAAAAAAAAATGTTAAAACTTAAATAAATAAAGTACAATAAAGTCTGTTGGTTAATACATTTGTTTCCGTTTTTATAAATCTGTCAGTAAATATTAATAATTTTTGTTTTACAAAATACTTGATTTAGAAATTATTTAATAGTTAAACTTTTTAATTTCAGTTTTACCAATTATGTTACTTTGCGTAACACTTTATAGTAAGCTTAAATTTGTTAATAGTACATTAATTAGTAACAATTAACTAACCATTATAATATCTCTCAAGCATTTGCAGTATGCACTCTAAAAAATGTTGTTTAGACCAAACAAAAAGAATTAACGCAACCAGTTTGCATCAATATATTTAAGTTACAACAAAATCTAACAAAATGAAGTTCAGACAACAAACTTTATTATGTTAGCCAAATGACCTTTTCCTTTTCAATTAGAGGCATTTTAGTTGAAATACATTCAACAACAACATGTTTTTTTTTCAGTATTTTTTTATGTATTTTAAACCACAGTTTTTCAGTGTTTTACAAAACATAAATTTGTACTGTTCCGTATAAACAGTATGAAAAATAACCAAAAAGATCAGTGTCTGGACTTAAAACTACAAAACATAAAGTACAACATAAAGGGCAAAATCTACTCTCAAATAAGTAGAGACTTTAGAAAATAATTGTCTTGAGACGCAATACTTTTGCACAAGTTCAATAAAACTTTACAAGTATATTTAAGTTCCTTGAGGTAGCTTAGATTCAGAGCATATATTATGCCCATTAGCAGAGCATAGCACCTTGAAATATCCATTCCATTTAGGATTTTCATGCCCTCAACCATGATGGTTTCCGTCTTGTTCAATTCCAAATTAGACTGAAAACCAATGATGGCAATTGTCATCACTTGCCTTTCAAAGTCCTCTTCAAATTCTAGTGTATTTTTGTTAAGCGAGAAAAAAACCTTTTTAAGTCAATAAACACTGCTAAAATCAAGTGTATTTACCAGGATTAGTCAACACTCTGGTGGAAAAGAGAGAAGCTTTGAAATCCAGAACTCTATTTGTGTGGAAATATTATCAATGCAGTTTCTTTGGGTTACTACAAGTTGAATATTATTTCAAACTAATTGACAAACATTGATTCATTCATTAATTTTCTTTTCGGCTTAGTCCCTTTATTAATCTGGGGTCACCACAGCAGAATGAACTTATTCAGCATATGTTTTACGCAGCGGATGCCCTTCCAGCTGCAACCCATCACTGGCAAACATCCATACACTCATTTACATACACACACTACTGTGTAGTGGTCACAGACCTCTTGAGTTATTTTTTATAAAATGTGTGTATTAATCTTATGTATGAATGGTTATTAAATTACATAAATTAATTAAAATGATATCAGTTAACACACTAATTTAATTTTTATAGCATTTAAATATTAAAATACAATTGAATCTAAAACACTTAAAAAAACAATAGTTTTATTGAAAATAACAAAATATATCTCACTATAGAAATCTTGACTAATTTAGTTTTTTTAAATCCTTTTATTATTTAATAATTCACTTTCCCTCATGTGCTGCAATATTGTGGATGTGTCACACTGAGGCTACACAGCTGAACCTGCTTAAAAACCCAGGGATCAAGACGAGAACAAAATGTCCTGTTACAGTAATTAGAACAAAACCCCTTATCACAAGAGATTTAATAACACACTGGCATTTCTTTTTTTTTATTGCTCAGGTGGACCTGCACTTCCTGAAGGTTCTGACAGGCATCGCTACACAGGGTGCAGTCTCCAAAGAGACTCACAAGTCCTACTTCGTCACCACCTTTAAGCTGGAGGTCAGCACTAATGGAGAGGACTGGATGATATACAGATTCGGCAAGAACCACAAGGTATGATAACGGGTGTTTTCTCTCTTAGTGTGAAACTCTGAAAATGAATAAAGACAAGGTTTATTGTTATTTTTTGCAAGGTATATTGCTATTTTATTTTTACCAGCATTATATCCAGTAGTTATTTACCGTGGTGCAGTTGAAATCTTGGTTTGCCTACAAACGTCATATGGAATTTAAAGGGGTAGTTCACCCAAAAAATAAGAGTTTTCTTACTGTTTACTCACACTCAAGTCATTCTAAATTTTTATGAATTTCTTTCTTCTATTAAAGACGAAACAAAATATTCAGGGGAATGTTGTAAAAAAGCAGCCATTGACTTCTATAGTAATAACAAAAATACTGTTTCAGAATATCTTCTTTTGTGTTCAACAGAACACAGAAACTCAAACAGGATTGGAACAAGTGGAGGATGTGTAAATGATAGCAGATTTTAATTTTTTGGGGGTGGGGGGGGGGGGGGGTGAACTATCTTTATTACATTTATGTCAATTACAATTACTGTCCTTCAGACCATTTTGTAGATCAGTGTTTCTTACCCACGTTCCTGGAGGACCACCAGCTCTGCACATTTTCTGTATCTCCCTAACCAAACATAACTGATTTAGATCATCAGCTCATTAGCAGGGACTGAAAGACCTGTAATGGGTGTGACAGACAAAGGAGAAATCAAAAACATGCAGTGCTAGTGATCCTCCAGGAACGTGGTTGAGAAACACTGCTGTAGATGACGATATTTTTCTTCAGTGTAACTTGAAGATTTCTTACTGAAACGATGGTCCTTGGTCATTCATAAAACCTAAGCATCTACTGGCACTTTGAGAACCAAAAAACATTCCCAAGAAAAACAAAATGAATACCTGTGGCTCCTAACAATACATTAAGATCTTGTGAAGACGAAACATGGGTCTTTGCTAGAAAAAGATGGTGTCCTGTATAGATTAGCTTTAACTTCCTTAAAACACCTTCCTGGAAGTTTCTAGTATACCTAGAAAAAGCTTGATTAGCTGGTTCAGGTATAATTGGGGTTGGAGCTAAAATATGCAGGATACTGACCCTCCAGGACTGAGTTGTACACCCCTGCATTGGAACTTCATTAGACCTCAAAGTATCATCAGGAGCCACGTGAATGAGTTTAGTTTGGCCTGCATGTGTTTTGTTCACTCTCAGTTGTTTACTTGGGTTTTATAAACGCTCTTTTCTGCAGTGACTTCATTCTCCAGACTGATGGGACGAGCTAGACAGGACTCTATTACTCACAATCTGAGTGAACAGACAGATTTAAAGGCTTGAGCAAAAGCAAAGTGAAGGGAGGTCAGAAAAAGAAGAGAGCTGAAATGAGTGAGAAGGTCTGTGTAAATCTAATCGCCCCTTGCTGAACATGCTTCTAATCTTCAGTTATTAACAAATCCCCTGGAAATCCTGTATGCAGTTGATTGCTTAACAGGGGAACATGTGAAGGCTCTGATGTTAGCGCAATGATTTTGGAAGAAGCTGTAAAATATCATCAGTAGCCACTGAGAATGAAACCACTCTGGGCACCATCAGCTGGCATTGGGGTCTTTCGTTCCGGACCCCCTACTGGAAAAGCCTCAGGCTTTAATCTTCCTGAAAATCTCTGAGGCCTTAATGTGCTCATGTTTTTACGGCTTTGGTTTCAGTTGGACTAAGCTTTGTTAAGAAGTCTCGCTGTGCTGGAATGGAAGATTTGTGCCCTATGGGAGGCATGACCGAGCAGTGTCCATTTAGAAATGGTGCTATTAAATAATGTACTATTTATGCATGTGCCTGGAAGAAATGTATTTTTATATTGGCAGCTATCTACCAACATGCCTGCAGACCAAATGCATTCGGACATGGCCTTTTTTAATAACACCAATCATTGTTATGTAGATTTACAGGAAATAGGGTGTCTGCGGTGCAATGAATATGTAAATGTGCAGTACTGTAAACAACTTTGAATGTGAGCGTCATGTAGAAACAGGCTGTGAGTCAGCAGGTTATTATTTTTAGGAGCTGTGTGGCGATGTGTTGGGTTGATTGCTCAACATCAAGCTTCCATCGCTTTCAAATGATGGTGCTAGAGGTGTGTTTCTGTCTCTGGGGGATTTTGTGTTTACGGACAAACAGGAAGAGCTACTGAAGAGATCACTGTGGGCTTGTGGCTGATAGTCTCATTGTGTGTGTGTGTGTGTGTGTGTGTGTGTGTGTGTGTGTGTGTGTGTGTGTGTGTGTGTGTGTGTGTGTGTGTGTGTGTGTGTGTGTGGTGTAAGTGTGATATCAGCAGAGCTGGGCTTAATTTCTCAAACTGCCTCAGTCGCTGTGGCGGTTCTTTCAGTTCAAGACTAGATTACCTTCTGCACACTCATTCAGCTGCTGCTAAATCAGACCTGATAAGATCTCACACACATACACAGAGCTCTTATCCAGAACTTTACTGTGTGCCCTGTGTGTAGGCAGCTACAGTATAAGGAAGCATCATAACTAAGATGTAACTTTATATACTTTATAATGCAAAAATAGCACATTAAATATCTTCTTTTAACACTAGAACTTCAGAGAGAGTAATTTTGATCATTTTTAGATTTTGTAACTTTGTTAAAATGAAACATCTGTATAGTAGCCTGTCTTTTCCAAAGTGAAGTTTATTTATAAACTAATTTCAAGAGGATCACTTGTTTATGATTCACCATGGCTGGACCCACATTAGCTAATGCATGATTCTCCAATCAGATGATCCCTAAGTGACTTCAGTCTTTAAACCACAGTCATCTCCGTCTTGAAGAATCCCCCTTCCCACTTTTTCCAAGATTAGGTGGCACATTAGCCCAGTGGTCAGCACTGTTGCCTCACGGCAAGAACATAACTGGTTCTTATCCTTAGTAGGCCAGCTGACATTTCTGTTCGGAGTTCCCCCAGGTTCACCGATTTTCTCCCACTGTCCAAAAACAGGAGTCATAAGTAAATTGACTAAACCAAATTGGCAACATAGTCAAGTTCCTAGCCAACAGTATTTTCTCCTCATAAAGCAATTCATCATTAGTCACAAAATAAGCCGGGAAGTTCTCGAGATCTACCTGAGCTCGAGAATCCTTTGAGCCAGGTACAGCATGCCAAACAAGCTTATATTCAATCATCAGCCAAGTGTGAACTCTTGACTTGTATTTTTTTTCTAACATTGTATTTTTATTAAAATGACAAAACACAAAATAGTTCAGATTACTTCAGATAGTTCAGATAACTGATTGCATATGTTTCAGCATTCACTACTTTTTCAGTGCCTTTGAATATGCATTCATCTGTTGCCTAGCATACAACTCTCTGAGAGCAAAAACATAACTTTACTTCAGATGTGTCATTCAAACATTCAAAAACAATTATATTACAAAAGTGATCTTATTTATATGCATTAAACCTCTAAAATTAGACCAAAAAATTCAGAGTTAAATTCTAAAATCTCAATAGAAGCTTCCCATGTAAATATAACATGACAAAAACTCAATTCAGTACAGTCAAATATGGATGGTCAGAATGACTGTTATGTCTATTCTAATAGTTATGTAATTCTGGTAGTTTCTGTGGTAAATGCTAGGTTAAAAACAACCCAATTTTGACTCAAGTATAGATAAACCTATGACTGGGTTGTTTTGTTTGAATAGGTTGTGTGGAGTGTATAGTTTCGCACGTCATAATTTAGCCAATTATGATGCGACCCTGGTTTATAATTTTTGTTCGAAATTATAATCCTTACCTATTTCCTACCCCTAAACCCAACCATAACTGTAAATTATTCCAAAAATCAGAGGGCAATAATAGACATTAACGGTAAACATATCCCTTAATGCTGATTGGGATGTTGTTCCAGGATCAACATGGATATTAATACAGGAACATGTCCTACTTAGTGAAAACAGGTTGGTGGTATAGTTTCAATGTCAGAAATTGACCCAGTCACTAACACTACAGCTGAGTAATGCAACTACCCAACTCTGGGGAAAAAAATATACTTTTTTCTGGTATAAAAAATATACCAGTATTGTTTGCATTCTACATCTTGACTTATTTGCCATAGTGTTTTTACTGTGTTACATTCTGGGATTGCCACCTCTGTGAAGAACACACACTCTAGGTTGCTGCATCCCATCGTTGAATCAAATAAAGACAAAATTGATGCTAGGTTTTTGTTTTGTTTTTTTTCAATTAAATGTAAATTAAATTTGTTTAACCCCATACAATGTTGGCTTACAACAACCCAGCATTTATTTAGAGTGCACATATGCCAGCAGCTAGCTCTCTGCAACTCTCACATGGTCACCCACTGAAGCTAAGCAGGGCTGTGCCCTGTCAGTACCTGGATAGGAGAAAACATGTCTAGGTTGCTGCTGGAAGTGATGTTAGTGAGACTAGCAGTGGATACTCAACCCACGGTCTGTGTAGGTCCTAACGCCCCAGTATAGTAAATGGGACTCTACACTGCTTAGTGAGCGCCGTCTTTCAGATGAGATGTTAAACTGGGGTCCTGACTCTCTGTGATCGTTAAAAATCCCAGGATGTCCTTTGAAAAGAGTAGGGATTTAACCCCGGCAGGTTGGGCAAATTTGCCTACTGGCCTCTGTCTATCAAGACCTCCTGACCATCCCCATATCATTATTGGTTGCATCACTCTAACTTCTCTCCACCAATCAACATGTGTGGTGTGCAATCTGTTGCAATATGGCTGTCGTTGCATCATCCAGGTGGATGCTGCACACTGTTGGTGGATGAGGAGATTCCTACACTGTAATTCCCCCACGAGCACTTTGAGTGTCCAAAAAAAGTGCTATTTAAATGTAGGGAATTATTATTTAGTGCCTTTTAGAATTTCTAGGATATATCCAAAAACAGTATATTTATACCTTTTGGAAGAGCCATTTGTATTGGGAGACTTTAAAGCACTGTGTGTTTTGGAACAGAACTCCAGATTCCCTTCTCTTTCATTGGAAGCATAGAAAAGTACACAC